AAAAAAAAAACCAAAACAAAAACCCACACCAAAAAAAAGTCAATCAAACAAACAAACTAAAAAGCTCTTTCTTTCCTAAAAAAAAAGGTTTTTATCTGCAAAAATAATGGGTTTGTATCCAAAAATAATCACTGGGATGCTTTGGATAATACTGGGATATTTTGGTTAACATTGGGACATTTTGGGTAATATTGGGATATTTTGGATAATACTGGTATATTTTGGCTAACATTTGGATACTCTGCTTAATATTGGGATATTTTGGTTAATATTGGGATGTTTTGTTAACATTGGGGTGTTAATTGTAAATTGTTTATTGTAAACTGGGATATTTTGGATAACCCTGGGATATCTTGGATAATAATGGGATATTTTGGTTAACACTTCAATATTTTGGATAACACTGGGATAATATTTTGGATAATCCTGGGATATATTTTGGTTAACACGGATAAATTTTGGTTAACACTGGGATAAATTTTGGATAACCCTGGGACATTTTGGATAACCCTGGGACATTCTGGATGACCCTGGGATATTTCGGATAACCCTGGGATATTCTGGATAACCCTGGGATAAATTTTGGATGACCCTGGGGCGTTCTGGATAACACTGGGATATTTTGGATAACCCTGGGATATTTTGGATAACCCTTGGACGTTCTGGATAACCCTGGGACATTTTGGGTAACCCTGGGACGTTCTGGATAACACTGGGATAAATTCTGGATGACCCTGGGGCGTTCTGGATAACCCTCGGATATCTTGGATGACCCTGGGATATCTTGGATAACCCTGGGATATCTTGGATAACCCTGGGATATTCTGGATGACCCTGGGCCGTTCTGGATGACCCTGGGATATTTTGGATGACCCTGGGATATTCTGGATGCCCCTGGGCCGTTCTGGATAACCCTGGGATATCTTGGATTACCCTGGGATATCTTGGATTACCCTGGGATATCTTGGATAACCCTGGGATATTCTGGATGACCCTGGGCCGTTCTGGATGACCCTGGGATATCTTGGATAACCCTGGGATATTTTGGATGCCCCTGGGCCGTTCTGGACGAGCCGAAAGCGGCTCCGGCGGCTCCGACCCGTCCCCGCTCCTCCAGGCCGGGCACCTACGAGCTCCGGGGGCCGCCGACCACGGGAGTCTCGTGGCCCATGAAATTCGGGGCTCCGGACTGGGCCAAGGTGCCAAGGCCGGCCCAGAGGACGGCCAAGCTGCAGGTGCAGAGGGTGAGAAATTCCCCTTCACCCTCACTGCCACTCCTTTATTGACCGGCATTCTATTTTAGAGATTATTTTATTTTATTTTATTTTATTTTATTTTATTTTATTTTATTTTATTTTATTTATTTTATTTTATTTTATTTTTACTTTATTTTACTTTATTTTTGTTTTATTTTATTTTAATTTAATTTTATATTATTTTATCTTATTTTATTTTATTTTTACTTTATTTTATTTTATTTTTACTTTATTTTACTTTATTTTACTTTATTTTTGTTTTATTTTATTTTATTTTAATTTAATTTTATATTATTTTATTTTATTTTATTTTTACTTTATTTTATTTTATTTTATTTTATTTATCTTATTTTTACTTTATTTTACTTTATTTTTGTTTTATTTTATTTTAGTTTTATTTTATTTTATTTTATTTTATTTCTATATTTCCACTTTCACTATATTTTGTTGTCCTTTCCTACCCGAAATCTCCTAAGAGACAAAATTCCCTTTTTCATTTCCCATTTTATTTTTCTTTCCTGCTCTCTCAAATAATCCCCGTTTGTAAAACCCCTCCAAAAAAACCCTTTTTAATCAGAAATTTTCGAATTTCCACCCCAAAAGCAGCAAAGTGGGGCCACCACTGCCTCGTGCTGGAGTGAAAATCTGAATTAAATCTCAATTTTCGCTCTCACCCCTTCCTTTTCTGGTGAATTTTCATTGGTATCCATGAAAATTTGATTTTTTTTCTATTTTTTTAGATTACTCTGGATAAAAAATTCCATAAAACCCAGGGCAGAGAGGCGTACCTGAAGCTCTACCACGGCTGAGGGAAAATATCTTTATTTGGAGCAATATTTTATTATTTCACCTGCAGCAGGCTGAATAAATCCAATATACAGATTTATATCTGAGTTTTTTCTAAAATTCCTTTTATTACGGACATAATAAATTATCATTCTGTTCCTCTGCTAAAATAATATCGATTAAATTAAAATTTATTCATTTTTATTAAATTAAGAAAGGAACAGAATAATGCTTATACCTTTACTAAATAATTCAAAATACCTTTACTAAATCATTACTATTCCTTTATTGCAAAATTAAAAATTACAATTTGCTCGGAAGGAGATAAAATTTCATTTATTACGAACATAAAAATTACAATTTTCATTCCACTTTTTTTTTTTTTTTCAACTTAGTTTTGGATCGTGCTCCAGAATCTTTTTTTTTTTTTTTTTTTTTTTTTTTTTTTTTTTTTTTTTTTTTCCCCCCTACCCAGCAAGGGATTTTTTTTTCCTTGCAGAAAACAAAACCAAAAAAACAAAATTAAAAAGAGATAAAATTTTTGGATATATACAAACATTTACAGGATTTTCTGTACATTTTTCGTTCTGTACAAGCAAGGCACCAGCAGAAGTGACTCACGGGGGGAGGAATTTGATTTAATTTCAGATTTTTTTTTTTTTTTGGCAGGAAATCACTGCAAAAAAATCAAATTTTAAATTATTTTTGTCTCCCTGGGTGATGGGGGGGATCCTGTGAACTGCACCGAAGAAAAGGAGATTTTTGTGATGGGAAATAAAGGGGTGAAAAACAGGAAATAAAGGAAATAAAGAGGTGGAATAAAGGACATAAAGGGGGAATAAAGGAAATAAAGGAAATAAAGGAGTAAGATAAAGGAAATAAAAGAAATAAAGGGTGACATAAAGGAAATAAAAAGGTGAAATAGAGAAAATAAAGGGTTGAAATGAGGGCAATAAAGGGAGGAAATAAAGGAAATAAAGGGAGGAAAAAGGAAATAAAGGGAGGAAACAAAGGAAATAAAGGGAGGAAATAAAAGGGTGAAATAAAGGAAACAAAGGGGGAAATAAAGGAAATAAGGGGTAAAATAAAGGAAATACAAGGAAAAAAGGGTGAAATAAAGGAAATAAAGGGGTGAAATAAAAGAAATAAAGGGTGAAATAAAGAAAATAAAGGGAGAAATTAAGGGAGGAAACAAAGGCAATAAAGGGGTGAAATAAAGCAAGGGAAAAAGTCAACTGTGTCCTCCCAGCTCCGTGTCCTTCTCAGCTCCGTGTCCCCATGTCCCTCTGAGCTCTGTGTCCCTCCCAGCTGCTTGTCCTTCCCAGCTCCGTGTCCCTCCCAGCACCGTGTCCCCATGTCTCTCCCATCCCCATGTCTCTCCCATCTCCGCGTCTCCCATCTCCATGTCTCCATGTCTCTCCCATCTCCATGTCTCTCCCATCTCCATGTCTCTCCCATCTCCATGTCTCCATGTCTCTCCCATCCCCGTGTCTCTCCCATCCCCATGTCTCTCCCATCTCCGCGTCTCCCATCTCCATGTCTCCATGTCTCTCCCATCTCCATGTCTCTCCCATCCCCATGTCTCTCCCATCTCCATGTCTCCATGTCTCTCCCATCCCCGTGTCTCTCCCATCTCCATGTCTCTCCCATCCCCATGTCTCTCCCATCCCCGTGTCTCTCCCATCTCCATGTCTCCATGTCTCTCCCATCCCTGTGTCTCTCCCATCTCCATGTCTCCATGTCTCTCCCATCTCCATGTCTCTCCCATCCCCATGTCTCTCCCATCTCCATGTCTCCATGTCTCTCCCATCTCCATGTCTCTCCCATCCCCGTGTCTCTCCCATCTCCATGTCTCCATGTCTCTCCCATCTCCATGTCTCCGTGTCTCTCCCATCCCCATGTCTCTCCCATCCCCGCGTCCCTCAGCCCTTCAGAACACAATCCCCCCCAGAGCAGAACCCAAAATTCCCCCGGCCAATTCCCGGGTGCTTTTCCTGCCGTGAGCCGAGGGGAAGCAGGGTGGGAGTGGAGCTCTCCACGCAGAGTTCACCTCCTCCTTCCTCAGCCGTTCCGCCTCTCCTGACCCCCGTGGGAAATCCCAAAGGAATTTCGGGTCCCCCCTGTCACTTCTTCCTGCGGATTTTGGGTTTCTTCACGGGCCGCAGGTAGGGGTTGTCGATGACGTTCTCCTCCCCGTTCCTGCTGCCTGCCAGGGAGCTGCTCTGCTGCAGCACCGAGCTGTTCTCCTTCTCAGGCCCTGCATCATCCTGGCACAGCCAAAAACAACAATAGATAAACCAAAAACAGGCTTGGAAATCCTTCTGCCCACAGAATCCGTGGCTGATCCATCCCTGGAAGTGTCCAACGCAAGGCTGGAGCAACCTGGGATGGGGAAAGGTGTGCCTGCCCGTGGGACAGGATTTTTATGGTCCCTCTCACCCCAAAGCATTCCAGGATTCCCAGTTCAAAGCCCTATGGGCAGGAGGGACAATCAACAACCAAGCACACGAGGGGCTGCATTAGAGGCCAGGTCTCCTGGTTCCTGAGACAGCAAAATCCCTTGGGAAACTGAAAATTTGGGATTTACTGACAGCTCCTGCTCCAGCCTCGTTCTGCACTGAACTCCGCAGGGACCTGAAGAACCAGGGCAATGTCCAGTTCCCCTTCCCATTTCCCAGAAAACAGAGCCAGGTTTTCCAAATTGGGGAACCCTGACACTGTTCAGTTCCATTTCCCATTTCCCAAGGGACAGAGCCAGAATTCCAAGCTCAAGACCCAGGACAATGTTCGGTTCCATTTCCCATTTTCCAAGAGGTAAAGCCAGGTTTTCCAAGCTGAACAACCAGCTTCAGTTCTTCAAATTTCAGTTCCATTTCCCAGGAGACACAGCCAGAATTCCAAACTGGAAAACCCTGGAAATGTTCGGTTCCATTTCCCATTTCCCAAGAAACAGAGCCAGGTTTTCTAAGCTGGAGAACCCTGCCACTGCTCAGTTCCATTTTCCATTTCCCATTTTCCAGGAGTCACAGCCAGAATTCCAAACTAGAGAACCCTGCCACTGCTCAGTTCCATTTTCCATTTCCCATTTTTCAGGAGTCACAGCCAGAATTCCAAACTAGAGAACCCTGCCACTGCTCAGTTCCACTTCCCATTTCCCAGGAAACAGAGCCAGAATTCCAAGCTGAAAATCCCTGCCACTGCTCAGTTCCATTTCCCAAGAAACAGAGTCACATTTTCCAAACTGGGGAACCTAACACTGTTCAATTCCATTTCCCAGGAGACACAGCCAGAATTCCAAGCTGGAGAACCCTGTCACTGTCCAGTTCCATTTCCCATTTCCCATTTCCCATTTCCCAGGAGACACAGCCAGAATTCCAAGCTGGAGAACCCTGTCACTGTCCAGTTCTATTTCCCATTTCCCATTTCCCAGGAGGCACAGCCAGAATTCCAAGCTGAGGAACCCCGCCACTGCTCAGTCCCATTTCCCATTTCCAGAATTCCAGACTGCAGGAATGGCCCCCAGGAGCCCCCCAGGGTGGCCCCACCGTGCTCATGTGCAGCGGGAGGTTCTCGGTGTCCGTCTGCTCGTCCTGCTCCGAGGAATCCGTCTCCTCCATCTGCTGCATCTCCAGCTCGGAGGGGAGCAGGGCTGTCAGGTAGGGCACAGTGAAAGGCCTGGCAGCAATCACTGGCAGCAGGGAAAAGAGGAGACACAGTCAGGAAACTGAGAGAAATTCCTCCCCTCAGAAATTAAGGACAAAGTTATGGAGATCAAACACTTCGCTGCTTCTGGGTTTGGATACGTTTCCTTTTCCTGCTGTTCCCAAGGAGCAGGAAGGAAATCCTAAATCCTAAAAGATGGCAGTCTCTGCTTCCCAATTTTCTGATCCCTAAAAGATGGCAGTCTCTACTTCCCAATTTTCTGATCCTTAAAGGACGGCAGTCTCCACTTCCCAATTTTCTGACCCTTAAAGGACGGCAGTCTCCACTTCCCAATTTTCTGAATCTCTTTTATGTTTCCAACAGTGTTCCAACAGAGAAAATCCTTCCTAAGCTCCACCATAAAACCCCAATTATCTGGGAAATTGGGTTCCTCTAAAATGAAGAGGCTGCCAGCAAGCCTTGGGAAAGTGGGAATCCTCATCACTGCCCTGCAGGCAGACAGGAAAATTTCCAGCAGCAGGAAAATGTCAGGGAGAAGAAATTCCTTGGTGAGGTTGCAGGGGGTGGAGCCAGGATTGGGATGAGATTTGGATTTAGACCTTCTCCACCAGGAGAAAAAAGGGAACCCTGAGGAGCTGCTTTCTGCTTTTCCTCCCCATTTTAACCCCCAAATCCCTCTTTTCCAACCTTCCATTGTGAGAATCCTTAAATCCTTTCCCCAAACCCTTGAACTGTAAGGATTCCCACATGCTGCTCAGCAGGGCAAACACCACGCACGGGATGATTCCCAAACCCTAGAGGGATGGGAAATCAGGGAATGACTGACGTGGGAATGTGCTGACATCATCCTTGAAGAGGCTCTGGGTCTCTCCTGTCTTGGCCATGAAGCGGGTGAGGGCCCTCTCCACGTCCCTGCGCTGGGAAGCCGCCTTCTCCCGCAGCACCTGGTAGTCGGACACGGGCTCCCGGTAGGTCTGGGGCAGGGAAAGATCGGCGTGGAGGAGTTATGGAGCTGCTCCGTTCCCAAATTCACAGGGATGGAGCTGCTCCGTTCCCAAATGTCACAGGGATGGAGCTGTTCCATTTCCAAACTTCACAGGGATGGAGCAGCTCCACTTCCAAACTTCACAGGGATGGAGCAGCTCCACTTCCAAACTTCACAGGGATGGAGCTGCTCCACTTCCAAAATTCACAGGGATGGAGCTGTTCCAGTTCCAAAATTCACAAGGATGGAGCAGCTCCACTTCCAATATTCACAAGGATGGAGCTGTTCCACTTCCAAAATTCACAGGGATGGAGCAGCTCCATTTCCAATCAAATATACCAGGAATGGAGCAGCTCCACTCTCAAGCAAACATGACAGGGATAGAGCAACTCCACTTCCAAACAAACATGAATGGAGCAGGTCCACTTCCAAAATTCACAAGGATGGAGCAGCTCCAGTTCCAAAATTCACAGGAATGGAGCAGCTCCAGTTCCAAAATTCACAGGGATGGAGCTGTTCCAGTTCCAAAATTCACAAGGATGGAGCAGTTCCACTTCCAATATTCACAGGGATGGAGCTGTTCCACTTCCAAAATTCACAGGGATGGAGCAGCTCCATTTCCAATCAAATATACCAGGAATGGA